CAGCTACGGACGTGAGCTCGTCATTGACATCGCCTGTAATTTCAGCCAACAACGCGCACATGAAGTCTTTGAGGACATGAAGTTTTTGCTTTATAACTGCAAAATCCATTCAAGCAATTCGTTCGTGATGCACTGTCAAAGGGAAAAAAGTACGACAAAAATAAGGAGATTTAATGCATAATAAAGACTCACATCATAAACAATGACTTTCTTTACAGTACCATATTTTGAACAACTCTGTTGGACTTCCTCCTTCAGATCTAGCATCAAGGCAGCATTTTTCTGAGAAAGAAAGATAATTGCGTAGGAATACTCAAGCAACCTCACCTCCATCATTTCCAAGGTAAATAAATTCTTGATAACAACAGTACAGTCCGATATAGGACGATAGTTGCGAGGCTTCTCTGGTTTCCATTCGAAAATCCTATAACAATCATCAATTTCATGAAGATGACTAGATAGAAAAGCAACAAAATGGAGAAACATCCAAACTTTACATATACTAGAAACACCTGCCTGTTTTGGTTTTCCATGTATCTCTTCTTTTGCGCATTTGTGAGCTTCTTTCTTTTCTTACTTGGATCAAATTCTCCCTTCAACTGGAATTTGGCTTTTTCTACATGAACTTCTTTGCCACGTAGGTTGAAGCCATCCAAAATAGATAGCGCCAAATCGACTGACTCCTACAAAGTCGATACAATGAGAAAGGTGAAAGAAAAAATGGTTCTGTCAATGAAACATTTTTATAAAGGTTCGCCTATGAAGGCAGCCTTAAGGAACGTCCATAGGTTGTCGGCAACGGTTGCCGAGGTTGCTGGGGTTTTTAGAGCGCATAACTTACAGAGAGTACTATGAGGACCTACAACGACCCTCGGCCCGTTGCTGGCAACCTATGGCCGTTCCATTAGATACCGATGTAGCCACTTTACTGCACGAAATTTGAGCTGCATCTAATAATGTTCGATTTCTTGTCTTTCACAAGGTCTCAGCCACCATCTTGCGAGAACTGATATGTCTGCGATTCGATTCGCACTAAGGAAAAGCATGCCACTGAAGCACTACCTCGTCTCCACTACAATGCATTTCGAACTTGGCGACAGAAGCAAGAAGTGAAGAGCAATTGAGGGTTTGGGCTATACGCAAGATGCCCAATTTGGAGACAGCGGCATTATAGGTCTTATAATATTGCTGTTCTGCCCAAGCAAAAATTTCAGAGATTCAGAACATGGCAAATCTCCATGGAAATAGCGACAAGCAGATGCACTTTTACACCACTCCAATAAGGAAAACCGAAAAACTTTTGCAATAGTAGATAAACACAAAATGACAAAGAGAAATTGTTAGAGATATGGAAAGTAAATGTTGAAAGCAGACAAACATCACCGATAGAGCACTTAAGAGTGACCAACCTACCTTCTTAATGTATACGCATCTTCCATCACCCTTGAGATCACCATTTTCGTCAACATATAATTTCAACTTCGGCTTGTTCGTCCGCGCGTCAGGTTGGATCACGCCACATTTTGACATGAACTCCTGAAAAGGAAACCGAAACAATTTGTGTGGTGAACAGGAATGTGTAACAGATGAACACCTACCTTAAACTCGTCCATGGTA